AATAAATTGAAAAAATTTTCGACTCGGGCAGGACTTGAACCGGCATCGTCAGCGTTCCGTGCTGTTGCTTTACCAACTCGGTAACTCAATTGGTAGAGCAACAGCATGGAACGCTGACGATGCCCGTTCGGTTCGATTTTAAAATTAGATTTATAGAGTTTTGTTAGACTGTCTTAGATAGACGGCATATTTTAGAGAAAATATGACTCGACTACTATTTATCTAGCAAGGCATGAATGTTTTGTAATTGTCTCAAAGTTATCTCCCGTTATTCACCATTCTCTAGAGCATAGAGAGTATACAACACACAGTGACTAGGCAAATTGGACTTATAAGTGCGGTCCACCACAGGAACACACATAGTTATTTACAATGTAAATTCCATATAACGTTTCCATATAACTAGATTCAACGACAAACTGTATATATTACCACTTAAAAAATTATTATATTTAAATATATGAAAAACCTTCCAAAATTTGTATAAAATATATTTACTGTCAACGTACTGTAGAAAGTATAAGTTATTACACAATATACTTTAACTAGTTTAAAATGAGTTGGGGTACCTAGTTATATCTTTACTAATATTAGAAAGCTGACGAGTTTGTCTGTTTGTTTGTACGCGCTGATCTTAGGAACTACTGGTTCGAATTGAAAAACAATGTTTGTGTTGGCTAGCCCATTTATCGAGTGCTAATAGGCCTTAGACTATTAAACATCAGGCAAAAAACAGAGAAAAAGCGGGGAAAATTATTTATGCTTTAGGGCTTACGACGGGACGCGGTCGACGTCGTGGGTTATAGGTAAATTATATAACTCGGGGGGTTGGGAAACTAAATGTTTAAGCTCAAAATAATTATTCAACGCGGACGAAGTCGCAAGCATCGCTAGTTAATAAATAAAATCATTTATTTATCTGCTAAAGCTACACATACATAGATACATAGGGCACATAACCTACAATAGTGCTTAATGGGTCGTAGCAGCATTATTCCCATGAATTATAATGTTGACATTACCAACAATTAAGTTGACCGCGTATCCTAATAAACGAAAGGCATTAAAAATAAACGAAATCTCTCCGCAGATGCGATCTGGGCATAGGAAGTACGCATACGTAATTGTGGCCAGTGGACACAATGAGGGGAATCGTCCAGTACCGATTATTATTGTGCGACCAACGCCCGCTCCCATTGATTGAATGAATGAGTTTTAACAAACAGTAATAACATACGGACCGTAACCATTTTGCGAGACCGTGCTGTAATAGAATTTATCGTACAATTCGAGTCACTTTACGGCTAAATAGGTACAGACAGTGGTAAATAAACTATTTTTTTTATTCTATATACAATGTATTTTTTTCTTGTGATTGAGAAGCACGAGGTTGATTGATGGTTGATGAAATACCTTAGCCATATAACATCTAAATAAGTTCGCTGTAAGGTCTACATTTTTCCTTTGGATATTTGAAAACTCATAAAATATTCCATAGATTTGAAAAAAGGCAACAAATCATAAAGTATAGTATGTACCTAAATACATATATAACATCGAGGTACCTGGAATAAGCAAAATATAACCCTAAAAAAGATTAAAGAATTTATAGTGAATTCATCGATCAAATACTGTACAAGTATCAACGCACATATTCGCTTTTTAGCTTTTAATTTTACATATAGAATTACAATAAATTTCTGCTGTTCAAAGATACAAATTATTTTGAGAGTATATTCTGTTATATTATAATGAAAATTAAATTAATAACATACTTAATGGTCCCAAGAGAATCGAGAATAATTGCTCCTAATCGGCCACCCGCTAAGACTACTTATAATGGACGGTGAATACTTCAGCTATAGGTGCGAGTTCAATATTTTTAATTTTTATTTTATTTTATTTTATTTATTTATTTACAACAATTAAAACGGCAATAGCCAGTTACATTAATTGGAGACACATACTTAAACAATAACAATTAAAAATAGGTTATTACAAATTACATTAGGAGATCATTTCAAAGGCAGACAATTCTTTTGTTTTGACAATCACTGCGAGAGGTCACATTTGGTTTTGAGGAGAGCGTTATGAGGTCAAAATCGCGGTCGGCGAAAACTCACGGGCGGAGGTGCGACCTTTTGGGACGTCAAACAAATCGTGTCTCCTAGCGCGGCCATAGTTGTCCGGAACAAACAGTCGACAAAAAGCTTCCCTCAAAGGACGTGATTTGGTTTCGAAAAACTTAAGGTATAGTTAATTGGCCACGGTCTGCGATTTCCAAGAATTAAACCAAGCTGTCCTAATAAAAACAAAGTCGGATACAAGTAGGGATAAAAACCGTATTGGTGTTTGTAAAGGAATCGCAGGAAGGCTTTTTGGATTTTTTCGAGCATGAGTACATATTTTTTCTCATAAGGGTTCCACAGGACGAACTCGATTCAATCTTGTGCGGAAAGAGACATATATACAAGGCATATCGCAGCCTATTGCGAAAGTCGCGAACATTGCGCAGAACAAATCCAGGTCGAAAGATCCTTGGTTAGTTCGACTATATGATCGTGAACGTTAACTTGCAATCAAATGTAACGCCCAATCTTTAAAGGGATTTCCTTGTCGCTGAACCATTAATTTGAAGTAAAGGAAGTTTCGACCGAAAGTATGAATTTTGATGAATTAAAAATTAGTTATTATCTAGACTCCACCGTTCAATGGTTTATCCTTTTGAAAGAGGCAGTATATACTTTTAATTCAGCAAAAAGTTTTAAATCGTCTGAACAGAAGACACTTTGTATTCACCAAAACTGAGGAAATTACCATGATAAGAAATAAAAAGACCTAGTATAGACCCCTGATACTCCTGTGTTTAATAAGACATATAAAACTAGTTAAACTTCACTCGCGAGTAGATTTCTACCCGATAGCAAAGAGAAGGGTAATGATTTTATTATTGTATTGATGTTCCACTCTCTGCCTTAAAATACTGAGCTTAATGTAATTGAAACCTAAAAATGTAACAGAAAAGTGAAATAATCATTTTTAGTTATGCAGTTCGCGTTTCTGTTTTAGATATTACACTGTTATGCCATCATTCAAACTGTTAAATACGAGAGAATGATATATAAACATTGGGAATTTAGAAACACATTAATATTGCAAATGGAAGCTTCAGCATATTGTAATAACGTTTATGGAGTCCGTTATTTATAATTCTATGTTATTATAGCATTCCGTGGAAAGATTGCGTCGTGATCGTGATGGGGTTGGCGTACAGAATCGACTAGACAGGGGCCGTGCGACAGGTCCCCGATTTTCTACGCATTAGGCATGGTGGTCGCAACCTGTCGCATCCATTCCATGGTTAAGATCTATGTGTTTAATGGGCATTCCGCGCGCACCTGCTGATGTCTCGTGCTACTGTGCGCACAAAAGAACTAGGACATGCTATTAATGTCGCATTCTGGTACTAATACAGAAGCCATATAATCCGCTACGGTTACTATTATTTTGATTCGATTCCGTGTACTGTTGTACATAGGTTATATACACTTTTATGAACGTTCGACGTTGCTGGCGATCGAATTAGATGTGTAATATGATAATAAAATTGTTAACGACGCTTTAAAGTTTTAAGACGTAATAACTGCTTCGTTGGTCTTGTGGTTTCTGTACTCGGCTTCAGATCACGAGCTGAACCCAAAGCAAATTTTGATACTAGAAGTCCTAAATTGGCATGGAGTTTGAAAGAAAGAGGTGATTCCTGTGTCTCGTAAAATCATCATCTTACTTTTTTTGTGTGCTGGTATTTCTTAAAGCCCACTTACCCCACAGAAGCAGCGTGGTGGGCTTAAGCTATTTAACGTCATCTCCTGAGAGGCAACCTATTTCCAAAATTGGGACATTATATGTTGAAACGTACATAATAAATACTTAAAACTCATGATAGCCTAATAACAGATAAAACTCAATAATCACATGCTCAAATGCCGATTACAACAAGATCTAAAGTGAACTTTTAATAGCGCATTATAAGTTGAGTACATACATAATCACCATCTTCACGAACTAAGCTTTCTTGGCATGAAACTTCTGCCGCCTCGATCTAGTTTCAGGCTTTATGAGTAAACATCAGAATCTTGAGAATATGTTATCATACTGCCCCATTTATTGATTTCAGCAAGTAATGGAAATCTTGTCGGTAGATGCAATAAATTATCAACCGAGTGTGTATTATTAAGGAGTGTCGGAATTGAAGAAACATTTAAGGAGAAAGATATCCGAATGGGAACGCTTATCTCCTGATTATTCACAGATTTTATTATTTTGAACTTTAAGGAGGTTAAGGTTTGTAAACTTAACTATATTTGTATACAACTTGCTAGTAAAACTTTAAATTTAAATGTATAATGAATGTATTTCTTTTTCTATAATTACGTGACTACAGTTTAAAGTCTAAATTAAAGAAAAACATGCGCCCAAAGAGAGACACCGGTTTAACCATCGACCAAGTAGAAATTTTAACTAAATGGTTTTGTATAAGCTATTTGTTTTAATATGAGTACGTAAGTGTATGTAAAGTTTACTTAGAAAGATTTTGTAAAAACCTGATCATTGTATAGAGTGACGATTGATCATCATAGTTACCTGTCACAGGATATGGTTGGATGCACATTTCGATGCGTCATGTAATACAGTCACGCGTGAAGTTTATACGTTCAAAATTTAAATGGTGTGATTAAGAATATATTACGAAACAAGCTGTTTAGTATAATTCCAATAACTTCTATAATTAAATAATCAGACCCCAAAAATCTTGGAACATCTAACTTTCGACGTATAAAAGAGAATTCATATAATTTAGTTTTATATTATCTTAAACATGCTATGCTAGGCACAAGATCAATTTTAATATCTTGTTGATAATTTTGGGACAATCGAAATCGTTAAACCCTAAGGGTATTTTTATACAATTTACACATAAAAAATTGTGTACTAAACTATCATTTAAAATTATGCAATATATTCTTACCTCCATTTCCTGCGTTGGTGATAGTGACCCAAAAGTCTATGGTTTTTTCAGGTCCAAGTTCTTCAAAGTCCCACTTCTTTTTAACTTTCACAACACCACTTGGTTCAACTGTTACCCACGGATTTTCATCTCGGATTTTAAATGTTTCGCGATCTGTTTCCTTCTCTAATGTAAAGACTGCACGCCCTTCCACTTCACCATCGGCTTCGGTGAATTCAATTCGTTTCGTAGGACGCACAGCTCGAGTGACACGTCTTTTCTCTCGATGTAGTGTAGGCAAGTCATTTCGTTCCCGAATTACAAACTCCAGAAAGACTTGAGCAGGTTTACTCTTCTTTAATGGAGTTCCAGAGTCATGAGCAAGTACTAATAACTCCGCGTTGTAACCGTCTGGCTCTCCGGCAAGTATTAGTTCTCCCGTTTGAGGTACTATCACAGCAAGATTTGTCGGAGTCTTTATAGAATAGTAGACACGGTCACCATCAGCATCAGATGCATGCACTACACCAATATTTGAAAAGCGTTGCCAATGTGCAGTGCCGTTGTTGACGTCTTTATCTACGGTTCCGTTAACAGTGAAGTAATACATATCTTGCTCAAAAACAGGTTCATGGTCATTTTCATTTAGCACCCTAATCGTTAATGGTAAGCTAGCCTTACTGGCTCCTTGTAAATCCGTTGCTTGAATTATAAAATTATACACATTTTTAATTTCAGCATCTGTTGGTTTCAACGCCACTATTTCAACTTCACCATCTGTGACGACAGACTTAAGGTCATAATTGAAATCTTTTCCCTTTTCGCGAAGAGCAAAAATCGAATCTTCGTTTCCTTTAATTATCTTATATGCAATGGGACCAATATTGACCAAAGCAGTGGCTCGTATAGGCGGTAGATCTACCACTGTTCCTTCCGGTGCATTTTCAGAAATCTCTCCATGCATTCCATTTATACTCATGAAGTTAAGCATTTTTCTGCGATCCATGACTAAAAGATGAATAGAATGCGCTGAACTACTGTATGGAGTTCTTTCCAAAATAGCTAGGTATAATGGTTGATTCATAAGCGGTGTTAGATCAGCTGTGGTCATAAGTAAGCCGTCATCCAGAAGTGTGAAATATGATGTGAACTCAGGGTCGACAAGGGTATATCGAGAGTGATTTCCTGCGAAATGGCGTACGGCATGGCCAGGGCGAACGTCATGTGGCAGGAGAATGAGAGCGCTCGCCTCGTGCACTATACTAAGGATGTAGAGCAACGCTCCACCAGCCACTACTATACGCGCCATGGCTCCCATTAGCTGAATTCGCACTTATCCCAACATTTCCACCTACAAATAAAACATATGATTGAATCAGGCTACCGTATTCGGTGAATGAAAGGTTATTTCTTTGTGAAATTATATCAAATGGTATAAGTTTTGCGTCATATCAACATTTGGCACACATGTCACATAAAAGGTATTTACCTAAAGATCTTTCATGTTAATGTAACCTAAATAACGATGATTATAAAGAATCTAGAATTTTTAGAAACGAATCGTTATAATTGAGCCTGATAAAAATGAGCTCAAGATGCAAAGCGTCGTCGCGATGACTTCGGCGTAGGGCGGCAGTCGGCACACATGCAGAGCTTTATTTAGGCGGCTGGCGGCAACGCCGGCGTCTCGCCAGCCGATCAATACTCTCTTTTGCGCCGCCGCGTCGCGTTTAGCAAACGAATCTCAACTGTATGCGCTTCACTTCACGATGTACCATCAAATATTCACATACTAATTTTACCAAAGGCACTGTAGGCATTTCTCTTATATATCGTAACACTGCTCTCAATTTAATACACTGGATAAACTTATTTTAGTCACATTCCGATTAAAGAAATACTTTATTAAAGATATTCCTTACTAAAGTAATAATATTATCACGTCTAATCTCGTTCTTCAACTTATTTTTGAACGAAGAATTCGTTTAATAAATAACCGTTGTTTCGAGATATTTTTTATATTTACCGATTTATTAATAAGAATATAATAAACATGCGTGCCAAATGTAAACAAATTCGATATGAATGAAAAATGTATTTTTTCTATCACTGAACACTCTTCTACTTAGTAGATAACAAACACTTGTCACGGGAATACATACATACGTTGATAAAGTTTGTTTTTGAGATCGTTGTTAATCGAATACTGCGTTCAACGTCAACACGCGAACCGTCCTCGAGGGGCGTCAAAATGCGACTAAATTGAGTGAAGTTGTAGCGCGCGCGCGTATCGAGCGCCCTCCGTAAGTCGGAGCCGCGGACAGGACACCCCCGCGGGGCTGCTTCCACCCCCTATTCGAGCGAGTTACTAGTCTGTCAGACTCGGTAGAATTGTTATAGCTATAGTAAAATCAATGGCAGTTTTCTAGTCTTCATTTTAGGGTCAGTAATCTTTGTTGATTCCTCTAATATTTTTAGACCATCGTTTTATTCAGGAATTAAAAAGATGGATTTAATATGATTCTTATTGATACTACGATATATGATTGTAAGGTTTAGTGTGATTAAATAGCACATTTTAAATCCTTACTGACTTCTACTTTGCCATGTGTTACAATACAAAAAATAATAGAACTAAAAAATAAATAAAATAAAACTGCTTTTTTTATTTTAAACAAGTATATTGAAACAATATTATAGACTAGTACAAAAATAGCCAAAGCTTTGACTCTGAGCAATATTATTTGTGACTTAAAAAAATTAAATATATATAATAATCTGTATTCATAGTAAAACCTAACATATTATGTGCTTATCTTAGGGGGCAAATGCACTTTGTGCTATGAACATTTTAACACCTTGTACTAAATGTTATGAGTAAATTGCTTGGATGCGACAGTATCATTAGAATTTTTGTATCTTATTTCCTTTATAGTGAGCTGTTTTCCTTGATGAATTCTTTGGAGGTGACTTCTCATATCATAGGATCTGGAAAATGACCGACGGCAAACTGGACACTGTGTTTTGCCAGCGTGTGAATCTTTATGAAGCGTCAATGATGTGGGATGCTTAAAGCCTTTAGGACATAACTGACAACGGAACTTTGCTAAATCACTTTCTGAAACAATAAAAACCATTTAATTTTTTATTTCAATCTAATTGATATAACAAAGTACATGTATTGCTTGTCTTTCTGCTTATGTAAAGAAAAGTAAATAAAAATGATTGTTTTTAACAAATTATTTGAGTTTAATAGAAAACTACAGTTTTTTTTTACCTGAACTATTTTTGTCTGATAAATCTTCTGCAGAAGTAGATTGATTGTCAATTTGCATTTCATCCGTTGACCCTGATGGCTTTACTTTTATGGAGTTATCTTTATTTGAATCTAGTTGTAACTCAAACGTATTATCTTGGTCCACTACTAATGGAGTATTTGTTGGAAGGACTTCCTCTCGTGCAGTTTGTAAAGGGGCCAAGTTTATAGGTTCTTCTGAAGTATGAGGAGTTTCAGGAAATGTCTCTGATCTTGATTTTGAAGTCAAATCTAATGAAGTATTATCACTCACTCTTATCTGATTTTTATATGTGTCATCATCCAAATTGTCAGTCAAGCCCTTTACTTCCAGTAGCTCAGCAGTAATAAGAAATGACTCCAACTGTTCTTGAAAAATATTCACTTCACCATGGTACATAAAATTGATGATAGCGTTGAGGTCTTCATATTTAAAGTTTCTAAATATGATCACAGGATGTTGGCATGGATTCTCTTTAAAAATTTGTTTAAAGTAATTGCTACAAGCTGACAAAAGCATTCTGTGGGCTTTTATTTTACCACCATCACAGCATAAGGTCACGTCAACCAAATCATTCTCAAACCGGAGAATATTAAAAGCTTCCGTAACATGGCTAACATAATTATTCCATCGTAAGGAAAATTGTGGTGCATTATTCATTATCTCTTTGCATTAACTTATTAAATGGAGATTAAAAAACTTTAGCAACACTAAATAGAAGAAAGAGAAATTAAAATTTAGTTATAAAATTGAACTTCTGAATATTTTAGTACATAGTAGGTATTAAGATAGTAAATATTTGACGTCTGACATCATTCCAATGATAAAGTATTGTATGAAGATAATAATAATATTATCTGTGGCTGAGACTCTGTCCACTTACTAAAACGACTGTAATCTATTAGGCTCTAATATATTATATAAAATCCACTTAAATATTAAAATAATGTTACTGTCGTATAATTGTTATTCGTAATCCACTAAATTTAAATCATAGTTTAATAAAGGAAAAGTAGCAACTTCACACCTAAAAGTTAAAAATTTCACTATCTTATTATTCAAAAGTCTGACGCTTTTAGCTTCGACTCGCCCATTCAGAATAGAAACGATATCAAATATAAGAAGTAGAAGTAAATTCTTTAGCTTTGATTTCAGTGTTTTTAATTATTCTATCTTTTGTCACCTGTATCATCTGTCACAATATTATGTCTTTGTTTAAAGTTTTTTTTGCTCCATCCAAATACGAGTATAAACATTTCTTGTTAAATATACACATTCTTTTAAAACCCGTGAATTTCCCCAATATCATCGGTCAAAAAACAAAATAACAACAATAATATATACTATCCAGCTTTGTCATTCCTGTCTTGGACACACGACATTGGTAGAATCCAGAATAGGAAAGCCAAGAAGATGAAAATTATTTTTAGATATGTTGACAAGTAAGCAAATTGTCAATGGTACAATAGATAGAGATGCAATAATTGTTATTGATGAAAAAAGTTTCTGAATTTCCTTGTCACTCCATTTGTATATTCTTTGATTATCGCGTTTATTAAAATATTATTAAGTAAATACGTGCATAGTCTATTTGCAGTACAGTTTCATTTATTTTAATATTCAATAAAAATGGTGTGATCCTATTGTCTTTTTACTATTTGATTATTCAAATTATTGTTATGAAATATTGTTACCCTTCTATACCTACTACTGTTTTTCGTTTTTAGCATGGAAGAATTAAGGTCCGGACTTCGGAAGAGGAAAAAGCTAAAAAAGAGAAAGAACGACAAGAAAAACTCAAAATATTCAAACATGCAATGGCTAAAATCCAGAACAAGGTATTTTTTACGTATTTATACTCATTAAAAAATAATTACCCGCGTCCCGCCCTATACAATTTTATAATAAGTATATGTTTTTTTTTAAATGGTTTATTTTAAAGCTATCCTAAATACCTAACACTATTTTTTTTAAAAGTAAAGGTATGTATTTGGATACACAGTAATATCTATAGATTACTGTGTATCCAAATACATACCTTTACTACTTATAATCCTTTTATTTTAGTCTTTTAAATATATTATTTTTTACAGAGAAAGCTAGGAGAACTTGACAAGGAGCAGTTAGATGTTACAGGTCAAGTTTTAAGTAGCAATCCTGATATTTATACTTTATGGAATATAAGAAGAGAAATTTTAATTGAATTTAGGTGCTGTATATTTTTATCATATTAAACATTAAAGAAAATTTTAATTACTAAGTAGTATAACAGTAAATTTAAAAGTTTATTTTATATATCAGAAAGCAACTACCTGAAGAAGAAATAACAAAATTGTATGATGCAGAGTTAAGTCTTACGGAATATTGCCTAAAGATTAATCCAAAATCATACTGCGCCTGGCATCAACGTGAGTGGGTGCTGACAACCAGATCTGATCCTGATTGGAAAAAAGAGGTTGCTTTATGTAACACATATTTGAAACTGGATGAAAGGAATTGTAAGATATTTTTATGTTGTAGTGAAATGTGAAGTCCTTAATACATTATAATTTTAGAATCAAAAACTTAATTAAATGGCTTAACTCGATGTTTATGTTTTATGTATTTGTAATAAAAGAAACTAATGTACTATTAAAACAATTGCAGTTCATACATGGGATTACAGAAGGTTTGTTGTTAGCCAGTGCAAGTATTCTCTACAAGAAGAATTTGATTACACAACAGAAAAATTACTTGACAATTTTTCTAATTATTCAGCATGGCATTACCGAAGCAAAATGTTACTAGACTTATATCCTGACAAAGAAGGTAATTAATCATCTTTTTTTCTTCTTTTACTATAATAAGATTTTCTTAAAATTACCAGTATCTTTTAAATAAAACACTTTAACGGTTTCAAATGCGATATATTAGTTAAACTTCTTTGAAAATTATTTTTAACTTCGGCCCGACGTTAATAATCGCGTTAATATATCGCGTTTTAAACCGTTTGTGTTTTATTTAAATGTGTACTACTCGCGTAAACTATAGACAGTATTTACCAGTATCTTACTTTCTCTTCCCAGGAGGAAGGCCAATACAGGATAGTTACTACAAACATGAATTAAAAATGGTGCTTAGTGCAGCTTTTACTGATCCAGATGATACAAGTGCATGGTTTTATCAGCGATGGCTTCTAGGTATGAATAATGTATATTGTATGTAAATATTTAAATGTACAAAAGAACACTATACATATTAATGTATTATGTTTGTAGGTGCTGTTAAAACTGTCACAAAGATAGTTGTGTCCACAGTTACCCCTTCAAAGACTACTGTGGCTTTTAATCACACTGTACCTTTGAAGTATGTTAAGGAAAATGTGCAAATATTTTTCAATAATGTCAATGTAGTTGGAGAATGGTTTTCATGTGTTCAAAAACAGAATGATGATGTGTGGATTCTGAAACATGACCAATGTGTAAACGATGATCTTAATATAAAGGTGAGAAGGTTATAACAATGGCACCTGGGACCAATATTCTGCCAGTTGCAATGGGGTAACCATTTGTTAAATGTATTGTGGCTTGTCACACATTGGCTTTATTCCACTGGTATCTCAATTGTCTCTTTCCTCGTATGGTGACATTTTACTTAGTTTTAAATACTATACAATTTACCTATTGTTATTGTAGGTTGAGCATTGTATAAATGGAGCTGAAAAAGAAACATTAGTCTTGTCTACATACAAACCGTCATACTATGTTGGAAAGAATATAATTTGTTTTCAAAACAAGTATTCCACTACAGTACTAGCTGAATTAAATGAGCAACTGGATGCTTGCAGACAATTGCTTGAAATGGAACCAGATAATAAGTGTAAGAAAATAAATATTAATTTGATACAATAGTGTTTAAAAAATATTTAAACCAGAAATAATAAGAGCAACAGCACGAAACGCTGACGATATCGGTTCAAGTCCGCCCGAGTCGAAATTTTTTTCAATTTATTTTCGTTATTTAAAGAAATAATAAGATTCAAATAATCCATTTGTTAGTTCATTTCATAAGATAAATCGTTTTTTTATATTTTCAGGGACACTACTTACAACAGCCTTCTTTCTATATTGTGTAGATGCTAAAACATACAACAAAGAGATTGATAAAATTCTACAGAGTTTAATTGGTATTGATAAACAGAGGGCTGGATACTATTGTGACTTGAAGTCAAAGTGGAGTATAGAGAAAGAAATACATGATAATTATGATAAAATGGATCTAGAAATGAAAGTAGCTGTAAAGAATCTAACATGTCTACCTCGCTTACAATATTATAGCTTTTGTGAAAATGTTGACCTCTCTCACCAAAATCTAAATGAAAATGTTTTGCCTAGCCTTATTAAACTACAGCACTGCAAGGTAAGCATATTGATAGTAGGTAGATGATGCAATACTTTCGTAATGGCGAAAGATTGAGAACTGTTTCTCTATGCTGGTGAAAAATCTCAAAAAGTTGATAAGCAATTATAGTTACATTTTTTTCATGTAAACTTTCTTTTTTCAGAAACTCAACTTATCCTATAATAAGATTACAACCTTACGCAAATTTCCTTTATTTCAACTAGAGGAATTGGATTTAAAAGGAAATGATATAGATAACAGTGATATAGAGGAACTAAAAAATAAATATAAAAACATCAAAATAATTTTGTAATATATAGTGTACAAATCTTGTGTACCACTGATTTTTTCATGTACATAGCACTCACTATACTGTGAAAAAAGTGACTCACACTTGGATATTTGACACTACATTCTGCAATGGTTTCAGGGAGTTACGAAGCAATAAAAAGCCTAACTCAAAATATATGTAATAGTTTTATTATCCATTATAATGACTTTTGTACTGTTTATAGTTAAACAAACTACAAAATAATCTATTATGTAACAGTTCTATATCAGATCATTCAAGGTGTTGAACACATAGCTTCTTAAATGTCTAAAATGTACAAAACAATAGTATTGTATCCTCTATGTATCATTGTTAACAAATTGTGAGACAATTTCACTTATACTTTTAATCGACTCTTCCTCCTCCCAGTAAAACTTCCCACAGTTTTCACACAGCAATACACTCTTGTTTTGATTACTGTGATAAAAAGAATAAACTTTTTGCAAGTTACTCAGATCAATTAAAGCTCCTTTACTAGTTACACATTTTTCACTTTGATTGTGGCATATAGGATGAGATATGAATTTTTCATCTTCATCTGAATCACTAAAGAAATCGTCCAGGGGATCATCCTCAAAGTCATCGCTGTTGTACTTACTCCTTGCTGTTTGAGTGCTTTCAAGCATTTGACATTTATTGTATATATCTAAAAAATCTTTAAAGTTCATGGTCCTTAAATCAACACAATTACAATATAAACATCTTTTAAAAAGATCTGCTTGGGTAATAACTACATAAAAAGTGGTATATATTTTTTTTATCTGATCCTTTATGTTTCCTTTTTCAACATACAAAATGGAATTTTGTGGGTATTTAGATGAACAAGTAAGTTTTAATTTAGATGTCAAAATATTTCTGTCTTCACTTAAAGCTAGATCTATAGCATCATGCCACACCATCTTACTGGGCATTACCACAGTGTCAATCCCACAATACCGCAAATATCCTATCAAGTATGATAAGTCAGCTTCCACAAGTAAACTTAGGTCAATAGCTGTTTTAGGTATATTACAAGCCATCACTTCCAATTTATGGTTTGCCTTACATCTTTTAACATTCTTTGGTTTTTTATCTAACATAACTTCATTACATATTTCCTCAAAATTAATGTTTTGTTCTGTACACAACGTTTGAAGATAGTTATATATTTCCAAAAGAACAAATGCGTCAAGTGCTGCATAATATATCTGGGTATTCCTAAGTGGTCTAAGTTCCCAATTTGAACATTGCTCTGATTTCTCTAGTGGCACTCCAAAGCATATTTGTACAATTGAACTTAAGCCATGCCCTTCAATATCACTTGAATTAGGTATGTAAAGCCCATACTCAGTTAGACTTTTCCAAAGTGTTGAAAGGTCCAGTAAGCCTTCACCTTTAATTTTTATGTTTTGCAAACCTGCAACAGATGCCTTTATTTCTTTTAAGTCTTGTTCTAGACCAAAACCTAGTTTAATGATTTCATCATTTTCAAAAAGGGATTTGTTTAACTGATACCAAAAGCTAGCATATTGTTTCTCGTTAAATATGAATGTATCAATTAAATAAACACTTATTGGAGTAGCTATTTGAATCAAAGCAACCTGAGATTGTACTGCTCCAAATGACGGTTTCCATTCACAATCAATACTAACTAAATTACATGTTCTTATACTGGTCAACAAATCATAAAACTTTTCTGCTGCATCAATTATTACAATAGAATTTTTGTCTATTGAAAGTTCATAATAATTTCGTAAAGAATTTTCTTTATTTTCCCAGTTTTCTTCTTGAACCTCAGTTGAATTTTCTTTAATAGACAAATTCTGTAGAGCTAAAGGCAATTTGCTATCTTCAATCTTTGAATATGTTGCCCATTTTATAGCTTCACCATGATCATAGTCAACAAGCATGTTTATAAATTCTTCTGCACAGCCTTCAGCTCGATTTAATGAATCTTTTACTAGATCATCCCAAACTGAAGCACTTACATTGTGTTCTACATATTTTTGATATATAAGATATTTTAAGCCACCAGTTGTCCGGTTCTTACTTAAATTTTGACATGTGTCAACAGGAACATTGTATTTTGAACATAAACGAGCAACTAATTTCCCAAGAGGCTTATGATGGATCTTCTCATATTTAATATTATATACTTTATGATCTTCAAGAAACTTCTGAACATAATCTCTTATTGCACATTTTTTATTTAATAATGAATCTAGAAATTCTAGCAATGGTCTTACCTGACCAGGTGAATCTGTTAAATATTCATCAATTACATTTATCTTATCCTGTAAAATTAGCGGGAAAATTAAGTCTTCTATGGGAATGTCATCATATAATTCTAAAGCACTGACTATCTGTGATGCTTGTTTACAGTCATCATTTTTCATTATGTCTTTTACAAGTGGTAAGATTTCACTTTTTATAGTTTTAATGTTAAAAGTTTTAACAACCATTATTAGGAATTGTTGATTTCTCTGCATAGCAGCAATATGAAAAGCTGGCAGCTTCAGCGAGTCCTTTGGAGGTCTTTTATGAACTTCACACCATTTCTGCAATGATTCTATTATATAGTATGGGAGACTTTTCGGTTTACAGTCTTTAAATTCTTGGCACTTAATTGTACATGCTAAAGCAATTCTATGAGGTTCTTCAAAGTTATATAGTAAGTTGAAGATATTTTCAACAGCACTACTTTTTCTCCAAGTTTGCCATGTCACCTGAAGTTGATTAAACCACAATTTAACTTCTTCACTTAGATGGGTGTCTAAACCAATTGCTTTTAAAGAATCTTCAATGGAAGGTACAATCTTCACTGACTGATGGCTGCTGCTACAGAGATCACTTAAATTCATTTTTTTAATTCAGTTTAACAAAGATGTATTAGTATTTAGTAACGTTTATTCCTTTTTTGAGTGCCTATTTTGTAATAAAAACGATATTTGTTTATAAGGTAGATACCGAAATCATAGAACAGATGTTAGAACCTTTTGTCAGAACTACATTTTACGAAATATTTTTATTTTATAAACAGATAAATATGCATAGATTAAGCATAGATTCTGCCGTGAAATGTGCCATTTATTTTTAGTCTGTGGCAAAATGAGATCTCTTCACAGTTTTATTTTAGCATTTTCTACTTGTAGTCCGTGGTTTAAAACGATTGTTAATATACTCTGTGCAATGTAACAATGTATTGAAAATGAAAATCGTCGGTCATCACGCATAATTCGCTTACTTCAACTATAATATTTTGAAAGTTATTTTGTTATTGGTGTGGCTATTCAAAATAAAGCAAGGAAAACACTTTGTACAAAAATAACAGAGGTATCATCTCGGAATAAAGTATTTTGTTTTTCGTATAGTTCGAACACACCAAAAAAAACGAATGTCCATTTTTTATTTATTTGTTTTAGATTTATTTGTTAGTAACATACAATGGAGCTTACAGCAGAAGGAAAAACTCCAGAGTACATGGCATTAGCCGGAATCAAATTCAAGTTAACAATACCCCAATTCAAGAATGACTCTGCATTAAAAGATCAACTGCTGCAGGGGATTAAAGCTGGTAATATGGCTCCATACTACAAGGAGGTTTGTACTGATCTAGGGTGGGCATTTGATCAGAAGTTATATGATGCTATGGCTAAAGAAAATGAGGAGAGACTTGCTAAATTTCAAGAAGATGACTCAGAAACCCCTGTGTGGCAAGATAGGTGAGTTAATCAATTTCTTAAATCCAGAAAATTATTTATCATGTTTATAATTTATTATTAATTTGAGTTCATTTTATCACTAAATTACAGATTGGATTACCTGTGTTCCATTGGAGACAAAGAAGCTGCCACGACTTTGGCCACAACAAAGTATGAAGATTCTACGTTAACTACTAACAGAAGATTGGATGCAATATTTGCTTTGTTCCGAATTGCATACTTTCATGGTTGTAATGTGAAAGATATGGGAAAAGCGATTAATAAGGCAAGTAATTCTTATTTTAAACTAAAACTCTTTTAAACAAGGAACTCTGTTAAATTTTTTGTTAAAAATCTCATATGTATATATATCTTATTTATCATATAGTTGGAAAGAAAAAAGGTATATATATATATATATGTATATATATATATATGTAGTGAAATCCTTTCTGTATTCATTTTACTGATTGGTTTTACTACCAGGCCAGTAGTAAATCAGATTTTTCTGTCCTGCCCAACCAAAACAATTTATTGTATCATCCCTGTGATTTGATTAACCATTTATCTACAGGGGTGGTCCAACATCAACATGGTGAAATTAAAATGTTGAATTTCTATCTTTCAGGCTCATGAATTGGTAGATAAAGGTGGAGATTGGCGTTCCAGGAATAAGCTAAAGGCATATGAGGCTATCTATTGTTTAGCTGTTAGAGACTACAGCCGTGCAGCTGATTTGTTCATTGACTGTGTCTCTACATTTGAATCATATGAATTAGTTGATTTCGGTGAGTAAAAACTTATCTAAACTACTTACACTTATATACATCTTCTCTTTGTCTATAATTATTGCTAACATAACTGTCTTTACACTTGCTTTGACCACTATCTTGTGCAGTTTGAGAAATTATTATACTAAATCACAGGGATGAAATCTTTGGAAGTCTGTTCTTTTTTTATGTTATCATCAAGGATGACAGGCAAGCATGGGGGTTCACTTCATTGAAGGTGAACTATCAATACTAGACTATAGCATATAAATAACAAGCGCTCTCAAAATATTTTGGCTTTGGATATTCTGAAATTCACAAACTGAGACCGAAACTGATTAAACTTCAAGGTTTTTTTCATCTGTGGATTCTTGACCAGGACGGAATATCTACTACCATCAATTTAATATCCAGATTTCAAGACGAAATCTAACATGTTTCAGAAAAAAAGTAAAAAAAAAAAAAAAAAAAAAAAAAAAAAAGGGGGTTTTTTTGGGGGGGAGGGGGGGGGGGGGTAAAGGGGGGGAAAAAAAAATTTTTAAAAAAAAAAAAACAACCCCCAAAAACCAATTTTTTTTGCCGCTTAAAAGAGTTTGTCGTTAAATAGAGTGACGTTACATGGAGTTTACACTGTATATAAATTGATTGGGAAAATGGTTGGCTCTATGCAGATCTGTACTGTAATGTAATGTAAGAATAAAAAATCTCAGAACAGATAGAAATGTGTCTAAATTCATGTCCAATACAGGAAAATCCGATTTCTCTATGTAATTTTGTGTTACTATGTCATTAGCATTTTTTATAATCTAATTAGACCCAATCATGAAATGCTAACATTGTATGATTATTTTAGGCACAATAATTCAGTACTGCGTATTGGCATGTGCATTGGCCCTCGAACGGCATGCATTACAAGCTGCATTGAGGAGGCAAGGGGCTGCTGTTCAGGCATTACGCTCACAGTTTCCTGAGTTGAGAGAACTGGTAGAGTCCTTACATGAGTGCAGATATGCGGACTTTATGAAAAGTCTTGCATGGGTATGTTATATTTTTTGTCCCTTAGTTTGATTATGGTTGTGGATACCTTTCAATATTACAGATTAGTATATTATTATTTTCTTATGGGGACACTGCTAGAAGGTCTGGTGTTCTGTGCGCATTAGTACATATTATATGCTAACCATTTCAGTTATTTTTCAATACATATTAATATAACATTATAGCATTATGTTGTATTAGTATGGTACTATAAAGATTATAGGTACTTATGACTCTATGCAGAAAAACCGACTTAGTATTATTATTTTCAGAACTGTGATCTTATACTATTCTTTGTATAGGATGTACAACTGATTACTTTCGCAGGTGGAAACCCAGATTTGTGTGGACCCTGTTTTCCGTCCTCATTACCAGCATTATGTGCGCGAGGCTCGTATTAAGGCTTACGTGCAGCTGCTTCGAGCTTACCGCTCGTTGAGTCTCGACAATATTGCAGATACCTTTGGAGTCACCAGAGAATTTATTGAAGAAGAAATTTCAACGTAAGTTCTATTTATTTGCATACATTGCTTTGGATTACTTAGTATCAGTGAACTTTAGTGCTTTAACTGAAAAGACTTTTATTTTTACTAAAAATCGACTTTAATCTCATACTAAAACGAAAAGAATTCAAAAACAGTGACAAAGTAACTATTAATTTAACAAGATGTCAGCTGTAAGTCATAGTAGTTCAGAATGCAAACATAATATATTTGGTTAAGCTTGTCATGATTTCAGGATTCATAATAGTAATGATTTCCTAACAGTAATACCTGTTTTCCATCTTCTTATTTTCCTAAACTAATTGGTTGGTTAGTGCTACTGTTACTGCATGGATGTATGTACATCACATAGACACATTTCTGTGTCTATTATTATTATTTACCCTACAAGACATAATCTGTTTATTATTTTTTTCCCTGAGCAGAACCTTCGATATTCCGCACCTACTTCAATAAATCGCGTGAAATATTGTATTTATAAAGATTATAAAGTGTATATAGCTAATCACCAAAATTATTTGTTTTTCCAACCGTTTACATGTATTTCTAAACTTACACCAAATGATTATTTAATTGCTTTTATTCCAGTTTCACGGCTGCGGGTCGCCTCCAATGTCGTATTGATGCGGTAGCTGGCTGCGTAGTGACTGGTGCCGGACGCGGCGCGGACGCAGACCGTTCGCAACTATACCAGGCGACTATCCGAGAAGGCGATCTTCTATTGAATCGCGTTAAGAAACTCGCTAGCGTTATTAATTTCTAGTAACTGTAATAACAAGGTTTAAATTAAATGTTCTTATAACATTCTTAGTTTTTATAAATTCAATCATTTAATAAAACTTATTTAAATAAAACAAATTTTAATGATCTTAAACGCCTAATGGTTATGGTATATAATTATACTATCTAGCTGATTTTTTATTTGTTTTATCTGCGACTTGAAGATTCGAATGCTTTGTCACAGTCGTGGTCACAGGAGATGACGATTGTGGATGTCCCTAAAGTCCAATCTCCTACGCTAACGACGTCTGGTCCATAATTGTTTTCGAAAATGTCCGTACCCTTAGAGAACTTATTCACGGCGCATACTCGTGTATCGATTTGCCGTTTTCTGGAATTTATTGTTAACATATTTTTCGTGTTTGTGTTAAAATGTTGCGTAGTAGAGTAGTGGTAAAAAACTTAAAGGAATCTTGAATTTCCCTTTACAGAAGAGACTAAGACTTCTATGAAGACGACTGTCATTGAATTGTGGTTCACCAGTCAATTCGTGATTATACGGATTGTATCCAGTATATACGGTACTCAATTATGATTATTATGTTAACCATTAAAAAACATTAGGTATTGATATTTTGTACTTTAGGTAATTGCTAGTCTCACTAACAACCTTATATATAACTAAAACAGGTACAAAAATGTGCTTGCATCTAGCTTTGTATTGTGCAGTTAGAGTTATGTAAAATGTGGCAAAAAAAATGGAATTAAGGATAAAGGCGAACAAAAAAGAAAGTGTATGTTATAATATTGTTTTTTAAATAATTTGAATACTTTCTGGACATTTACATAAACATTTAATAATTTACACTTGATCGTTTATACTGACATGGACATGACACATCATATTCATGGCTACTCTACGCTATATCTATTCGCAACATGAAAATTAAGTAGGTGCTATGAGAATTTTAATCTAGACAACTAAATCGTTGAGACCTAGCGCCTCGTAAGCGTTAATACTAAGAGTGTATGCATGATTTGAGAATATAAATAATTTAGCAGAACATTTATATTTTATACACATCTACGCCAGAACGCGTGTCGTTAGATTTTGTATTACAGAAATTACATATAATGTTGTTAAACAAATTGTGTTGTTGCCTAAATAAAATAAAAATGTAGAAATGTGTTACATGTATACAAATAAAACACTTTTTAACGCGAAACTAGCTGAATAGCTACAAATATTTACTACTAGGACAGATGGCGCTAGTGTAACAGATTTGACTTTGACATTAGGGACACCCTCCACAACAATATTTCCGCGATCACGGCTGCTGCTAATCCGAAACGTAATTAAAATAAATTAAAAATTTCGGAATTTAGACCGTTAATAAGTGTTTTATTTAAATTATATAAGTAGGTAGTTACTCGCTCTCTAGTTAGCAAAATTTTTGGTAGATGTACATTAGAATCTCTGTCGTTACATCCAGGTTAACAAACATCGAAATGCATTTTCGGAAACATAATTGTAAATAAACATTCAGTCTGTAAAGTACCTACGAAACCAGTCACTTTTTACAAAGATATGTTGAAATATCCTAAAGCAATACAGCTATGACTCTAACACTTAAATCTATGTAGACCTCAAATGCAAACACTTTTAATTTACATGATATGAATATGTCATTAACCTCTTTCTCCATAATTATATATAGTCAATATATTGAGTACTTAGAGCGAGAATAAGTTAATATAGTGTAAGGTATACATTCCTCTATATTATTTAGAAGTTTTTCGTTGCCAAAGACTTATTAATATTTGATGTTATATAATGCCGGTTGAAAATGTACCGACTCGACGAGCCAACGCTAAAATTTACAGAGAATCTCTTGTTGGAATGTGCTATTTAAAAATCATGCATATCGCACTCCAGTTACATAATATAGATATAGCTCATAGTATTAACTAATTTAATTATTTTACTTACAAAACTAAATATTATACATTTTATTTACAATTAACGATATATTTATGGATTTAATTAATTTTTGGGATAATTTATAATTACTTTTGATGTTGAAGCACACGCGACTGCATCTAATATATCTGTTTGTCTCATACCTTCGGCGGAAAGACACAGCCTCTGTATGTGCATTATCACAGAGTAATGACATAATCGTGGGACTCTCGCGAGCCCCGCATTGCCCCAGGCCCGTACTCGTGCATAAGTTACTTATAGTAATACTATAGGCGTAATAACACTTGGAATAACGACTCGACAATACATCGATACACTTACGTGTTAACTTACGCACTAACACATTAAATTTAATATCAGTCCTTCACTTTGAGTACTCTTTAATTTTTGTACATAGCAAGAATACTTGTTGGTACCTACGATTCGCGATAGGTTTTGCTTTCTCGGTCCGCGCTGAGTCGATTATTTGGAATGTGATTGGGCTCAGTGACTCGTAGTTTATTTTATCGCCATCATCGTGAATGGTTCATCGACTCGTCGGCCGGACTTCAGACGGTTAGGCCTTCGGTTCGGGCTGGCGGCGGAAGCGACGCTAGGGGGTGCGGGTGAGGATGGTGTGGCGCGGGAGGGGAACCCTGTGCCGGCGGCGGAGGATGCGGCGCGTGCGCAGGTGGTGAGCGGTAGTGCTCGCTCTCTTCGCGCATCTGTCGGCTGCGCTCTGCTAGTTCCCGGCCGCGTTCCGCCAATTCCCTCATAGCGGCTTGTCGTTCATCGTTTTCAAGAGACGGTGGCCTCTCTAGAGGTGAGGCGGCACCAGGTCGACCTGCTCCAAACGCTCCGAAACCAAGGAGTCCTGGGAATTTGCCGGCTACTCCGTTTTGGCCGGCGCTCTGTTGTATTACCGATATTTCGTTCAGCTGTAAAACACAACGTAATTTTTATAACGTGTTAATAATCAACGTAGTTGTACTTGAAGAAATAAAAGGGCAAAAAATTATTATAACATTATTCGGCACTCACCTTTTGCTGCATGCCGTTAAGGAACGGAGCAGGAAGGTAAGGGTAGAAAAGGTCTGGCCGTCGTAGTAGATCGTGAGGTTCGTGTAATGGCCTCGGAGGTAGCTCTAGAGACATACGGCGCCCGCGCCGTGATGCACCACCGCTCCACATATGCGTGCCCATATGCACCTGAACACGAACGTATTTGTTAAAACATTGAAATAAATTGATAACACACTATAATTGCGACATAGGTGATTATTAATAAATAAGGTTTTGGAAACGAAATTCCAAATTAAAATCAGGATAGATATCGTCGAATCTTCAATCCAAGAAGAAATTGTAGAGATATATATGTACGTTGTATACTTAATAATTTACCTACCTTAAGATTTCCTTTGGTAGTAAACGCCTTTTGGCAAACGGCACATCGAAATGGTTTGTCTCCAGTATGGGTTCTCATATGTATCTGCAACGCTGATGATGAAGAGAAGTTTTTACGGCACACGCCACATAAATGCTTAGATGATGCTGATGGTGGTGGATGAATTGGAGCACTTGGCACTAAAAGAAAATTAAGACGATATTTAATTAAAGCAACTAAGTTGTTGGTCGAACTTAAAGTCTCTGTATGGAAGATCCAAAATAGAGACTGTATGAAAGTTTATTTACCTGATGGTCTCTTCGGTAAAGGAGGCATGTCCATAGAGGATGGATGGTTCATGGGAGGAGGAGGATGCGCCGGTGGAGATCGCTTTAAATCCATCTTATCAGGCGAGGACCGTCTCTCGGGACTGGGCTCCCGTCCGTCTTCGTTGCTAGCTGGACCGCTACCGTTCTTATCGAATCCGGGCGGCATGTCCCGTATCTTATGTGTCAGCATGTGCTGCTTCATGTTACCCTATAACAAATTATGAGTTGTACAAATCTGTGTGTAAGTTAAATGTCAATATGCAATTGTATTTGTAGGGAAGCGATAGTTAAAAATTAATGTCTATGCAATCGACGTCTATCTCAAGCGCATTAATGAGAAATATATCGGATTAAGTTATATGTATATATAGCGATAAGTGATTTGAATAAGCGTCGACTGCGCAGACACAGATGAGTTCACGCTCAGGCGTCACTCTTTCATACCGGGTAGACGAAGGCGTTCCAGAGGTCCAAAGCAGTGGCGTGTGGCGGGCGAGGAGCGCGTGCGCGCCTGCCGCATTGGCATCCGCCACTGCTCTGGAACCACAAATACACGCAAATTTTACACACACGCACACACAGGAATACATCAATATTACTATAAGGGGGGGGGGGGGTTCTATTTAAGTATAACACTTAATAGTGTCAAAAATACTAAGTGTTGTCCATCCATGTTTAGTGCTAGCATAAACTAGTTACGCGAGTAGAAGCTATTTAACGGTTTAAAACGCGAATTATATTAGTTAAACCTACAGTAGAAACCTAATAAATATCGCGTTTTAAACCGGAAAATGTTTTATTTCAATGTCCCAATAAAAAGAACAATACTACTTTATCAAGTGTAATGTATTAACTTATTTCAAGCCAAGTTCATACTCTACAGCTACCACAAAGGAATGTATCTAATATTTTTGTTCACACTTGCAAGTTAAAGACGTGCGTCTTGCGCATTGACTTCTTGTTGATTAATGAATTAATAAGATAACTAAAGGGCTAATAAACTAAGTATTATGTTTAGGGGCTGTAGTTAACTCATGAAGGTCGTTTTATGTTAGCGCTAGTTGTCACATTTTTGCGCGACTGGAGCAGGTAGATATTATCAAATATTTTAGCCATCCTAAAAAGACTGCTAGTTGTGCTAAGCTATTTAACAGCACGGTAAGTATTATGATGATATTATTTTGTATAAGGACGGCTAGGCAGGCCTATCTAAGTACTTATATGTAAGTATACAAAATATCTTAACAAGAAATAAATTGATTTATTTGCATACATAAAAGAGGTCGCGCGATGCTTTTGTAATTTTAAAGTTATTAATTAGGTAATTCATATGCGGTGACGATGGTTTTATTTATGTCGCACGATTTATTAAAACCGAATATAATATTGTTTTTTTCCTATATATCAATGTCAAGAGATAAGAAGCTACAGTTAGTGTGAAACTACTTATAGTTATTTGTGTTAGCTTTTTTGTTAGAAATCCATAAAATAAAACGAAATCCTATGAAAATTGCGTTTGCTTATACCTATATTGTTTTCATTACAAATATTTTACATACACTAGGTAATAATATTTTTTAGATTTTAACCTTACGAACCTACAAACACTAATATTATTTTATTGTTTCGCTACCCGACAAGAGATGGCGCTTCCTTCTCTTTTTGAAATTTTATATGTGAAGTTGGTACTAAAAAAAATATGAAATGATTCTGTATGTTGTTACAGATGTAACAACATAACAATACATTGTATTTTTAGATTGTGCGTAGTGATCGCTAGCTAACAGCGCATTATAAAAATAGTTATAAGTAAAAATGGTGCCTTTTTCACTCAAATACAAATGCATAATTTTAGATAAAGTACATGCTTTGTGTTTTGTAAATTTATTAAAAAATAGGTGTTTTGTGTGTGACAGAAACCTACATCAAGAAAATTGCTGCTCTTTCGTTCAGAAGATTGGAAATCATCGCGCGTGAGTTTTAAGTACTTTCTTTATTGATTTTTAGTAGTTATCTTGTATGTCATTAAATTATTCCAAATAATATTTAGGGCGTGAATTGTTTAATACACTATAATTAAAGTTTCAATTTACAACAAAAGTGCTGAGCGATGTGCAGCAAAACAAAAGTTGACTATCGAAACACAAAAAGATTTTATACCAAGAAGTATACGCTTAAGTTTGTCTAAAAAGCTAAACACAGAACGTAACAAAAATTAACTAGGTTTATATAGGCACGAACCTTATATATGATTTAACAAAGGATCACATCGAAATACGGCGCCGTCGTAAAAATCTAGGCACATTTTATTGATAAGATGCCCGCATGGACACTCAGGGAAACATAACGAAAAATGTTATTTTGTCAAGCATAAATAATCTTTTTATGACGAGAAGCGTAGGTAAAGGCTCAAGGATTTATAAGTAATAAATATTTTACGACATGAATTAATATTCCGATCGTTTTTCGTGACGTTGTTTTTATGACTTATCATTTTTGTGGCGACGATAGTCCGCGGACCGCAAGCGCACCTTTATGCTTGAAATATTGGCCGATCTGATTGTAAAACCTGATTCTCCATAAAAGTAAGCATATTCTCTTCTTCGTTGCCTTTAAATATATTGTATTAATTATTTCTATCTGGTGTTGTATTGTTATCGGAACATTCAATATGGATCTTTGTTAATTGTTATGATTATTTCCGAGATAGCGGTTTAAATATATTACTTGTAAACAAAATTTGAGCGCAGGTAATTTTATATCTTACATATTTATATTTCATAAACGATCGCCCAAATCGAAATCAATTTTTTCGTGTTATAGGAATCATTAAAATATCATCTTTCTTATTGTGTACATAATAAGTAGTTAACAGGTGCCTATTCTGAAGTAAAAATCGGTTAAAGACTGAAAAAAAATTACGACACGGGCGGGATTTGAGCCGGCATCTACAGAGTTCAGTGCTGTTGCTAGAGCAACTACAAAATATTTATTCAAACCAATTGAGCTACGTATTCGACACTAAGTAGGTAAATGCAAGTCCCGCCCGTGTCTTAAATTATTTTTAACCTAAATGCCGAGTTTTAATTTAGGTATAAGTATAATGCATACTGACATGTGAAAATATTAGAGTTTTCAAACAAATACCTACTACTTATTACTGTTTTATATACAATGTACATTTTTAAATAGTCTTCTATGCATGGAGAAATACATTGTTGTATACAACAACATATTTATAGAGGTCTAATAAACCTATATGTCAATATTTCACGCTACCAGTTCGATATTATGTACCGCTTCAGTCGTTTTATGTAGATTACAAACGATCGAGACTTTCTGTGGAAAATAATCTTATGGAAAGCGAACTCCGTGGTTGAATACAAACAGGGAATCGAGAAATAACAATAGAGGTGATGTAATATCTAGAATAGCTTTAATGTTAAGCGAGTGTAGCATATCTGAACGCGTCAAGTGAACACGGCGAAGGGTTCCGCTAAAGCTCGACCGTTGAGTTCTTACATAATTTATAAATAGACGGTAATGATGCTCATTTATGGTTACAACTACAATTATCGATGATGGGCATGGCAGAAATATTTCGCTACGTAAATCACTTTTTCTCGAAAAGCGTTTACACACTTGTTAAACACGGTTGATGTAATTAATCGAGATTGTCTTAGGCGCAAACTATGATTTCGTGAAGAAATTGGGTAGGTGAAATTAATTCCTAATTCTTAATTTCTCCTTCTACTTTGTAATTACGGGTGGGTTACTATTACTTATTTTTGACTATGAACGTTTGGAAACTGCCTATGACTACGGCTGCTATTAAAATGATTTTGTATTTACGAACTAAAATTAAACTTATAAGCTTAATTTTTTTAAAGTTAATATCTAAATCGAACAATTATTTGTACTTTTTCTAAATGAAACCCTAGAATATGTGCAAAAAAAAAATAAAAGTCACCGCCGGGCCGATCAAAAACTTCTTTGAATTCGTAATATAATGGTTACATCACATTAATAAGAAGAGCGGATGATATATAGGTATATGACATATGCAAATTAAAATCCATTTTAAATTGTATAAAACCAACAAGGGCTGGACTCGAATGAACGACACTCAGTAGTTCAACTAGAAGAGCAACAGCACAACAAGCTTAGGCTGAGAGCTTGTGTAGTATATAAAGTTGATTCAACGTAAGATAAAATTATTTGTACATAGTGCTATCATCTATTATAACTTGCCAAAATATAAAACCCTACTATCAATATTCATATAATAAAGCTGAAGAGTTTGTTTGAACGCACTAATCTGAGAATACTAGTTCGATATTAAAATATATTTTTGTGTTGGTTGATCCATTTATCGAGGAAGGTTTACTACAATATCAAGCTACGACTAAAGAATTCTTCTTTAAATAATTAAAAATAGTCCGCGACAGGCTCTGTCTATCTTTTAATTAACTCACAAGAATCCTTTTTTGATAACCAAATGAATTTAAAATATTTATATACTGTCTATAGTTTACGCGAGTAGTACACATTTAAATAAAACACTTTAACGGTTTAAAACGCGATATATTAGTTAAAAATCATTTTCAAATAAGTTTAACTTAAATATCGCGTTTTAAATCGTTAAAGTGTTTTATTTAAATCAAAATACTTATTATTTTACCTACATATTATGGCAAAAGACCGTTGGCTAGTTAAGCATTATATAAGTAATCGTTTAGTTACTCGTATGATAAAAGGAAATTGTTCTGAATAAGCCTACAAGTTTGTAAAGTTGGCCGTCAATTACTCAGCAAGTCTGTGCGGGAGAGGAAGACAACGAGTAACGACTGAAACTTATGCGAGGAGACTGCAGAGGCGTCGACTAGAGACTTGTAATTACAGCCTGCAAAATTAATGCACTGAAACTTGGGTGAAATGAAACCGGAGTATGCAGTTTCGAACGCCAACTCCGAGTTGCTTTTTGGTAAACCGACCTTATACAAACGTGTCACCTACATTCAAGGCGAAAATTATTCACAATTAAGTTATTATCTGCTCCAATAATCGTTTTAAGGCATTCGATGTGTTGTGAAAATTAGAGAAAACCTCGTAAACGCGTAGATATGTGTCGCTATTTGTGTAACAATAAAGTATGAACTGGCTGCGAGCCAAAGATACTCGATCGGAGTTTATACGATTGGATATAAGGAATTTAGTTTTAACAACAATTTTTATCTTATTCTAGCGAGAGTATTAATATTGCTGGGGATTTAGAGATGAAGACAGTGAATTTATAAATCTATTAATCTTAGGTAATCTATGGGCTTACGAAACATTTAAAAGCTCACCTTTGTTGAAAAGCCTCGATCGCACACGGTGCATTTGAACGGACGCTCCTTCGTGTGACTTCTATAGTGTATCTCCAAAGCTGAGTTGCAAGCGAAGGTTTTGTAGCAGATGGTACACGTTGTGTTACCGCGCACTGTGCACAAACATGACTTTCTTATAGTTTCATTTCAAATCGATATCCACGTTAAGTTAACGAAGCATTATTACATTGTATGAAAACTCATCACGCCCTCGAGCCCCCGGTAAGGTATTAAAGTAGGTACACAGTATTAGGATAATAGGAATAGGAGTGCGGACGACCGGGGCGGACTTATTAAGGGTCCCGCTGTCGCATACCTGCGGGAGGGAACGCGAGTCCGAGCGGGCTGAAGGGTGATCCGCCGAGAGCGCCGAGCGCAGCCAGAGGAGTGGGCGGCGAAGGCAGCGGCGAATGGTGCGGCAGCCGCGGCGGCGTGGACAGCGCCGACGGCGACGGGGACGGCGACGGCGGCGAAGCCCGCGCACTCCGCCCGCTCTCAGAACCTGTCGCCGATGGGAGGGAAGCCGTTGTGGTGATGGTTTTTATTTCGCATTCGGACGCCGTGGCGCAGACGGAGAGCGGCGAAGTTCGACGATCCTTAGTATCAGATTCATCGTCGAACTCCCGAGAGGGAAGCTCGCGCTCGTCACGGCCGCTCTCATCGTCGGTTCCGCGGGAGTCCGCCCACCGGTCGCCTGGAGTGGACGGAGTGGGAAAGGTTGGAGTCGGAATGGAACAAAAGGGGCTATAGTCTGCGACGTCGGAGTCGTTATTGCTGAATGATTGACTATCGCTTACGTCGCGTACGGCTAATTGGTCAAACGGAGCAGTGAATCGATCGCTTGTGTGCATACGAATGTGTTGGTGTAACAAATTTGGGTCTGGAAATTTTTTGTGGCAAACGGGGCATTGGTGTAAAATTTGTGAAGGAGGTTTAATGCGATGGACGCCCATATGCGTTTTTAAGTTGCCTTTTGTAGTGAACGCCCGACCACATAATTTACAACGAAACGGTCTTTCACCGGTGTGAGTGCGATAGTGCATTTGCAAAGCACTTTTACAAGAGAGAACACGGTGGCATACTATACATTCATTAGGATCGGACACTTTATTGTCAATATTATCTACTAATTGTTGCAACTTTGAGGTTTCTGAAGTTTTTGTTATTTCTATTAAGCTCTCCCAAGAGTTGTCATTACTGCCCGGTCTGGGAAGAAGAGAATTATATATAGTTGGGTCTCTAGTTACTTCGGAGTCTATAATATTATGAGGATAGTTGTGAAATGGAGTGAGACTGCCGGAGGATATACTGCTGGGAGGAGATTGAGGGAATAACGGAAAAGTTGGGAAAGTACGAAGTCCCGTTGCTATTGAAATTGGTCCAGATATCGATTGATTCTTACTTGATAAATTTTCCGGCTGATCGGGGTCCGGCTTCACGTGTGGACTTTCTCTGCCAATTTGGTCGTCATTACTATATTTTGAATCCATGCTGCAATCATCATAGGGAGAAGTAGAAGGATATCGGTCTTGTTCTGGTTCTTGGGCAGGTTCGTTTTCTTCCGGCTCTCGTTTGGGTGATATTCTGTCGGTTTCTTCAAAACTAGAGTCGCGTTGGCTCTCTTCGTCTTGTGGCTCAGACTTAAACATTTCAGAGTTAGATCGCGCAGGGCTTGCTGCTGAAGGTTTGCTTAGATCTGCAGGTGCATCTTGTTCTTCGCGCATTGTAAATAATGGATGTGGTGGAAGCGGTTTATCACCTAATGGACGCGGAGGAAGTAAGTCATGATGCGTCGGTCTATACAGAGGCAAGCTTGGCGGAAATGGTGCTGGTCCGCCGGGGGGAAATTGAAGTGGGTGTGGAGGCATTCCAGGTATAGGCCCCGGTGATAGTTGAGCAAGTAATGGCGGGTGATATTTGTCTAAGTGTTCCGGCACTGGATTTGGGTTCATTTTGACATGAGGGAACTTGGCGGTGTGTCTTTGAAAGTGTACTTTAAGGTTTCCTTTTGTGGTGAATCTTGATCCACAAACATTACATTTAAACGGTCGCTCTCCCGTATGCGATCGAATGTGAATTTGGAGTGCGGAATCACTTCCAAATACTTTTCCACAATATCTGCATCTGTGTTTGAAAAAAGGCTCATTTCTACCTCCACTTTTGCCGTCATAAGGCGACATTTTCCCTGATTTACGAAAAGCTAGCTCATCAGCTAGATTGTTCGCTAGTAAGCCTTGTGATGCGTTATCGAGTACTTCTTGTGCTCGTTTTTGTAACATTTCAAGCGTATTTGGTTCGTTTAGGGACGGTGGAGGATCATTATTCGTGATAATAGACGATGCTAATGATGACGATATGGAGCTATAGGGTGGATGTGACATCATAGGTGGAGATGTGGTCGGAGGCTTAGGAATGGAAATTGGCTCAATTTTTGGTGTGATATGAGAGTGGGTCGATGGCAAGCTTTGGCTACTAGGAGTTGGTTCAACAGGAGATGGCTCCCGTGGCGGACGAGGCGGCGACGGCGATCGCACCGGCGTCGATGGAGCGGTCGGTTCCTGTTCACACGGTGGTGGGCTTGAATGTTGATCATCTTTTCTTCTGGTTAGTGATAGCTGATTTTGCAACTGTCTTATTAACTGAAGCTGAAACACTTGCTGATGTTGCAATGTGAATAACGTACTTTGTAACACTGCAAGCTCATGTAGAGCAGCTTCGTTATTGGCATTATTAGCCATCGCTGTGGCAGCGAACTGAGCTACTGCGACTTTAGTGTTTTGCAATGCTTCTAGTGTTACATGACCTGCTACCGAAAATGGTAATCCCACAGGTGGGACATCAGCTTCAGGTACTTCGGCTTCACCGTCTTCGAGGCTATTATTGTTCTCGGCATCCTGGCGATGCCTTCTCACTTGTTCTAATTGCTTGTTTGGACTATCCATCTCTTCATCCCCTGACACAACCATATCCTCGGGATCGGAGTGCATCCTCTCCTCGCCCATCTGAATTGCCTTCTCATCACAAAGCCTCTTATGGTATAAGAAGTCGTTAAAGTTTTCAAACTGCTCCTGGCACCTGGGACACATGTGTGTTTCCGGGCGATCTCTGAGGCCGTCTGGCAATGCATTGTTTATTTCTTCATCTGAACACGACCCCGAGCTTTCACCTGCAACAATTTAGTTAGATTTAGTAAAACGCTTGACAGAAAGAAGTTTTTATTACAAACGTGCAAATAAATTAAAATGTAGACTTTACAACTTTAAACAAGGTTGTATGTACAATAAATATAGATATTAGTACTGTAATTGATGTATGTGATTTGAAGTTTAAAACAGTAGGGTACGAATGATAATAATTTGTATCAATGAAAAGACGCCAAAGATTTTTATATTTCAATGTCTAAAGCGTACAGAATATTTTACGTGCCAACGTAGGTATTGAACTAGTATGTAAAGTTTAAGGATAAAGGAGGAATAAGCTTATGCTAATAATGGTATATACATACAAACACTTATATACACGTATATTTATAGATGATCGTACGGTATATGATGATTTTTGTAAGACGCCAAGTTAGGATTGTAATCCAGTAACTCTCGTGTTGATATTTTTCGACTAAAGTAATATAAGCTAAATACATTTTTGTAATAAAGCTTGTTTGTAATAAAGGAAATTTATTTGAAGAGGCTTAGGATTGATGAATTAATAATAAAAGAAAGAAAGTGAACCTCCCTATCGCACAGAATGTAACGGAAGTGATAATTATCACTTTCCATGTAACAACGAAAATTATTCAGGAAAAAGGTGTCAATACAAATTCTTTTAACGATGACTGATCAGTAATTATCGCGAAGAATACATAATTATTTTAATTATTTGACGATTTCCATTGTTTGTTTTGCACTTGTACAGTAAATTGTTAAGTAAATAAATTTATTGATGTCTTTGTCCGCTATACAATCTGGAATACACAGGATAATCCAATGTTAACGTTATAAATAATATCTATTTATAAAACAGTCAAAATCAGTTATTACTTTTAGGCAAAATGAAAATTTTGGGCAAAATTGTGTCTGCAAAAAAAACTACGTCGAGCCAAAATGCTATCTTCTTTTTACTTACTAGGTAGGTATGCACCAATATTTGTAACTTAAATATAAATCTATTACCCTTTAACCATTTATGAAAATTGACCTTCTTTTAGTAATTAACAGTACTTTCTCCATAACCTTTCTCCTTTAGCTTATTTTTTAGTATTGTGTTCTTTAACAAAGTTAACTGTCAATATTTTGAGGAAATACGGCCTGTCTCTAAATTAAGAATTTTCGGAAAACGGGAGCTTAGGAGCAATATTTGTTGTGATATATAGAGTAAATATGCTCTATACATGTTCAAAACGTTTACATAACGTACAAATAACGATGGTTTGTTTTATTTTGTTTTTGGCCTAGAACGCAATACCTAATTGTAAAAGACAAGAAAGTATAACTAGCAAACAATACAAGATAATATAGTTCATATTTATAATATAAAACATTCTTATATTTCGGTTTTCTTTTAGACCTTAGGCGTCCCTTAAAAATATATGTAAAGAATCTAAGCGACAAGGTACCTACACCTACTTACACATAAAAAAAGATTTAAACAAAATAAAATAAAAAATAAAATTCAAAGGTATATTAATTGTTGTATTAAAAAATAATATTAATTTTAGGTATATGAAAACATACAACTAACCATAATACGCCTTCTTTCACCCATTTGAAGTTAGTTAGGTATAGATAAAAAAATATTCTTTGACATGGCGCTACAAGTGAAAATTCCGTTACATTTATTTTTAACAATGCTATTATATATTTAAATTAAAATGTAAATGTACATGAACTATAACAATATTGTTAAGTTCAACGCGTTGGTGAACTATTTGAACTGCAATGGCTAATCGACCATTGTTAAGATTCAAATACAGATAAGCAATAAAGTTATTGTATTTAAAAGATTTCTTATTTAAGGCCTTGTCTCTATGTTATTTATACCTATGAGCAAGGGTCAAGTGATTTTTTGGGGCCATTGTCTTATGTGCTCTACAATGCTACGTTAAAAACATTGAATTCTTACTTTTAAAAAAATTACCTTTTCCTTAATGATGTTTACGATTGAGAATAATAAAAAAGTAAATACTTTAAATTGTTTTTATTCAAGTTTTTTAATATCTATGGTTCATCCTTCACTAGCTTTTCAAAATTAGAACTAGAGAAAATTAATGATATAAGATTTCAACATATTTTCTTAGCAGCCAGTATTAAGGTGGATAAATTTGTAAAAACAATACGACAAATAGCTTTTAATACATAACAGGATAATTTAAATAAATAATAACATATATAACTAATTAATAATAATTAAAAACGTGAAAAACATTTACGTTCTTGAATTTAGTTAATTGTGGTCTTAAATTTGCCCTTTCTAGCGAAATCCTAGCGAAGATATTTGTAAGATCTTTCTTTGATTGTAAGATTTAAAAGAAACTAGCTAGGTAATTGTAGTCCTGGGATTCAAATCCATAGTCTCGTGCGACGACGTCGGTCTAAAAAAAATCTTATGATATTTTATATGAATAACGTTATTTCATATTCGGTTCCTCAAAGCTTCCGCAAATGTTTGTATTGAAAAGCGAGTGAAAAGTGAGCACCGACACAAAACATTCATAATAATCCGGGATAATCTTGCGGTAAGGGTTTAAACGTCTCATTTGCAGCGAGATACCGGTGCGGTTAGTAGATAGTTTGTAAGAAGTCGGATTAGTGGTGTCTGTTTGTCGCAATTTGGGTGTGAGCTTTGTGTTAGCGGGTGGAGCGCGGCGAGTCAAAAGAACTGAGTGAGGTAGCTGTGGCCAACACGCTTTTAGAAATAGAAAAATGAGATTGCCACAACTAAATTCCGTCTTTAAATACCGTGTATGCTAGTCGTGATTAAAATAAATTAAATATCGATTTTAGATTGAAAACATTTTACGACACGGGCAGGACTGAACCGGCATCCGCAGCGTTCCGTGCTGTTGCTCTAACCAATTGAGCTATCAAGTGCTACACGTCATCGTCGAAATTTTTTAACCTATACAAGCACCTTTCACTCCCTTTCTAAAATCGATTTATTATTTATATAGTGCCATCTTGTACAATACCATGTGAAAATCTAACTAATTTTGACGAATCTAAATAATTTTTTAAAGAATAAAGTAGATACTAATTAATTTTATTTTTTATTTTCACTTTTCACGGTTTAAAACGTGAAACGTATCAGTTAACACATTTACAAATTTAACTACGGCCCGACGTTTCGGATGCTTTGCAGCTTAAATAAAATACAAAAAACTTAACTAACACATCTTGTATTTCAAACCGTTTAAGGTTTTAATTTAAATGTGTACTACTCGTGTAAACTACAGAGACGATACTTAAGAATAGATCGCTAAATATCAAATATCTTTTTGTAGTTTCATATCTCGAAATGAAAGCTGATTATCATAACACTACATTGATTTAGATAAAACATCGTTTTCTGTCTAATAAAGGTTCAAGCTGTCAACGAATTGGGTTATAACGTGTATATTATACTAATATTCAATAAATTTATTGGCCATTTGAATATTGAAACTTTTATAATTCGAAACGCGGCGATAATTAAACCACTTACAGAAAGCCCATAATTTATTCATCATTCAAGGTAAATAGACGCAATATGCATATCAATATTTCATTTTAGTAAATACGAAATGGGACCGGATCATTAAGCGGCTTCGATCTTATGTCCGTAGATTAATATTTCGAATTTTTCATAGAGCGGACGGGATATGGTCGAGCGTGTTTTATATCGATAAATTCACTTAATATTTTATAGTAATGCCATAAACGATAGAAGCGGCCAGATAAATAAAATTGACGGGCGTTACTCTAATACGGCCACTTAGCATTTTTATCAATACGTAATAATTTAATGTCACAATTTTAAAGGTTTTATGGGATTTTTATACAGTCCACTGCGTTAAAGAAAGCTTACCTACAAATTTCGAGAAAATCCAACTGAGTACACTTTCTACAGAGAATATACGAGTGAGCATTTGTACCTTTTAAAGGGAAAACAAAAGATTTCAATGCATTTTTGTTTGAATGGCCACAATGTTATTCATTATGAAGAGCGGTTTTGTGTTTATAAAGTGGAATAAAAAACACGGTTTGCATCTAAAATTTACCTATTTAATTGCGGGCTACGTTTTTATTACAAACGTTTATTAAAGGAATAATATTTTAGAATTTAAATACTAAAGTAATACTTACACATTTTTTAATACATATAATTTTAAAACAAATTCATTGCTACATACGCATTAAAAAAAAAGTTTACCGTCGAACAGATCTGCTTCATTTTTTTTTATCAACATGATCAAATTAATTTTTAGAGTCCCTTCTAAAACATAGAATTTGCGTATCTATGGAGCCTGTATTATCTTTTTCGTGACTTTTTCTATCTCTATATTTTAAAGCGCTCGCGGCGATAGGGATGCAAATTAAGCCCGCACGTACCTACCTATGTACAGGTGCCTAAGCCCGAATTCGAGAGGCGAGATCAACAATTCACTACACTGTTTACTCACCACGCAAGAGCCGATTTTTTTTGCGCACTTTTTGATGGATGCCGAATTTAATCGTCGCCAACTGAATCATTGCGAAACAAAACTTATGGAACCGTACGATAACACGAAAAACGCTCCCCGAGGAGACTTCACAGTCCTCGTGTGTGGTGTTTGGTGATAGTGAAGAAGTAAGTACCGATGGAGACGCGGCGGACGCAGGCGGGCTTCACGCGCGGCATGTCGAGTCGCGCTGGGGCTGGCGGCTCACAGCCGGCGCATGGCAGGGGCGGCGTCGTGGAGCGCTCGCCCTCGGGCTCACTCGTGACTCGGGTTCACTCGCGGAGCGGCTCACTCGCAGTGCGGCACGGACGAACGACCGAGCGCACCTCTCGCCATCTGACGCGGGACTGAACGAAGCGGCGGGCGGCGGCCGCGCGCGCGCGCACCAGGTACTCGGTTATGACAGGGAGGCGGGGCCGGCCCCGGCTCATAAATCAAACTTCGCCCATTCGCACGCGTTCCGACCTCTCCCTCCTCTATATTCAATATTCAGGGCGGGGCATATTTCATAATCATAACGCCTCATATTCATAAGTGACATGTGCCGCGGCCGCGACTCGAGACGCCGGTGGGCGGTGTCCGCCCGCTAGATGGCGACCGCCGCTCGCCCCGCGAAGCCTCCCACATTCGCTAATTGAAGCTACACTTTGTAAGTTATAATCCTTTGTTTGTGAATTAGTACATTTGTTTTCATTGCGCGCATAGATGAGGTATTGCCTCTTCATTACTTTCTAGGCGCTCATTATATCGGCCTTGTGTGTGTACTTTAGACGACTTAGGTTGACTAGACATAATTTATTGATAATTGAGACACTTTTTTTTATTAGGTACAATGCATTACATTATATCACACTAAAAATGAAACTAATTAGGTTGCTTTAAATATTTTAAGATTGCATGGACAACAACATATCAGTTTTTAGATGTAATTAGTAGATTTAAGAAAACATAATTAAAAAATATATATATAAATTATAATACATTACAGATATATATATATCTGTTTCCATTATGATATTTACTTATTTTGTGGATTATATGAAAAAACCGTATGCTCCTTGAGGGTCGTGGCTTCATGTCTGGGCTGTCTACTTAGATACGAACTTTTCTATCGTTCCTAAATCACATCTAAACATCTATAAATAACTAGCGATTACGCTTACTAAAAATACAGCTTCATTATTGACAACATCGTTATCATTAGTAATAATATTCTTTCAAAATGGCTCCCGACTACCCAATAAAAAATATAATAATAAAAAAGTCTATCTATCAAATTAAAGTGTAAAAAGCATTTCACTGAGTCATCAGTGGAAACAACGACAGCTGTAACGAATACGACAATGACAACTAACTAGATTCGAGCTAAAACGGCGTCGGTTTTAATTTTTGAAACTGCGACTTATCAAAAAGCGGATGCCGGGAGCCATGTCAATCGCTTTGTGTTCTTTAAATTAAATAGATATACGTTCGGTAGTCCCGGGGCGGGCCGAATCCAATATTAATGTGATAGAAGCAATTTAGACGATTCCGCCAGTCATCGGGTCGAGACGCGAGAGTTCCTAGTAGAGACGTGGGTAGCTTTACGAAAACTTTGAACTACCTTCTAAATTATTCTGCTAATTTAACATAGGATTTTTAACTATATTTAATTCGTCATACAAAATGTACTATATTTTGGATAATAGAAAACTGTTAACACTTCGAAATCATATTTATATCGTGGTTATAATTTTATGCCTTTGAAAGAACAGTCTGTAAGTTTGAAACTGACTGTAAGATAAAAAAATTCATAATTAAGTCTTTATTATGTCAATAATTAAAAACTGATCTGAATAACAAATGAATATGCCTTTTATTAAACGCTACCGCTTTATTTTTAGACCTATTTCAACTTTTAGCATTTAAAGTTGTAACAACTTATCTAAGTTGGTGGTTTGTGTTTTATTAAACTATTAATACAAAAATAGATATTTGTAGTTATTCTTTTCATGTTAATTAATAAATCACTATAAACGTCGCAGTTAAAATAAATCAAATATAACTTAAACAAATATATAACACGTTTTAGACCGTTAAAAGTGTTTTATATAATTTAATTTTCAATTTACTTTCAGCGAGAAAGCATTTTATAAAAATGTTCGTAAAAACAATAAAACTTACTTAGACAAAATGGCGTTATATAAAAAAATATTATTCACTTTTAATATTAATAGATATAGGCACACATGTATGTACATATACATCATAGTCTGAAAAGAAGCAGAAATAATTTAAAATATGTCAAAGTATTTAATTAAACTTTCGCATATATTTCATACCGCTGTTTACGGCATATTTCTGTACTTATTGCATTCAGGTGGCTTCATGAGACGACATTGTGTATGCTATCAGATAAAATCAATTAAATAAAGTTTTAATTAACGATCGACAACGGCTCACTTTTTATATCTGTCTGTATGAATGAATATTCATCGGATCGGCTCGGAGCTTTTATGTGGCAACTGTCAATGTGAACAAAGCAGTATGAATACACTTGTAGTTCTTCCTTTTTGAATTTTACCCAATTGCCCGAAAAAAATGAGTAATTATGCTAATAGATGGCCGTAAACGGTTTTTTGTTTGTGTCGCTTCGTTTAAACTGAAGTGAGATAGTGTAATTGTTGACATAAACGTGCTTATGCATAAACATATTTTAATACCTCCGTATTCATCAATACGCTACAATAGACCTGTAAATAAACTACTGTTATACTGTTTTAAACGTGATAACACTAACAAGGAAATATGGAATACGATCAGCCGTTTCGAATACTTTAGAGAAGGTAGAGTTCGCGTTTGAAACAGTTTAAAACTGTATTACAGATTATGTATCATCGTGCCAACTAAAGATTCAACAATGTATGTAAGTTTTTATGTTTGATAATCAGTAAAGACGAATAAATATGGAACAAAAGAGTTGAATTGACTTGGAGAAGATTTGGTGTGTAGCGTGTGTGGTATATGTTTTTTTTTTCATTTATTATTTTTTTGATACTTTTCTCTAAAATAACACTGATTTTAACTCTATAATATACCTACGTATTTATAATACTATCTCCTTATAACCCTCTGCCTTGGTTTTCGTTAAAAGAAATAAAATGTTTTTGTACACCGTTTATGTATAAATATCGCTTTAAATTTGACAATTATATTTTAGATATTTATAGAGATTTACAACGACGTAGATCGTATGCTTAGAACATAAAATCATTTTCTATTACACCAAAAATAATCTAGCTAAAGTAATAGTTATTGTTTTCAACCTCAGTTGACCAAATAACTCCTGTTTATGATGACATCTAATCCCTATGAATTAATGTTCCCTGAGCGAGAGGTATAGCTCTTATTTCGGATCCATCAGCGTGGCTGTTAAACAGAAATAGCTTCAGTAACACAAGTCACATTCGATTTAAATATACAAATTTTTGAAAACGTCTGTTTATTTAAGCTAAAGCAACGCTTAGCTGCTCAGTGTTAACCTACCCCATTCTATCATTTATTCTATTTTTATTTCAAATGTAACATTCATGTAGAGATGTTATTTGTAAGTTTAAAGTTTATTTTGGTGAATACAACAACTATACAAATATAGGTTCTAATTTCTTTCAAATATAGTTTATAATTTAAATAAAACACTTTAACGGTTTAAAACGCGATATATTAGTTAAACTTATTTGAAAATTATTTTTCACTTCGGCCCGACGTTTCGGATGCTTTGCAGCAGCCGTGGTCACGGGGAGACTCTATCTATATCTATAGTTTATAATTGGTAAGAAAATGACAGCTAATTTATTTTCCTTCGCTGAGCATGTCTTAATGATTATACGTATTTAAACACTGGTAATGGTTTTAAACGCGAAATGTATTAGTTAAACTTTACACGCGAACACCCGAGTCTCCACGGCTGCTAAAAAGCATCAGAAACTGTGCTGTAGTTAAAATAATTTTCAAACAATTAAAAGTGCTTAATTTAAATGTGTACCGTAGTTAAAAGTTAAAAATCATTTTCAAATAAGTTTAACTAATATATCGCGTTTTAAACCGTTAAAGTGTTTTATTTAAATCAACGAATTTAATATTTCCAGTTATTAGCCTACATGAGTGGTGGTCACGGCCTGCATACATTCATATATTTGAAAATGGAAGTGAGTTCTAGTGGCGTCTGCTTATTTTTACTGCACCCCCAAAGTTGTACGAGCGAATGCGTCGCCGAATTTATTTCCATGCATTTTAATATCTCCCTCTGAAAACCTATTGCAATTTTCCCGCGGTTTCGTTTCACACGTCAATAATTATTATTATTTACTTCATACTTACACAAAAACAATACAACAGATACACAACGTGTTTTATAGAGTGTACCGGACGACCTTATCGCTATTAGCTATCTCTTCCAGACAACCCGAGTAGAAAGAAACTTGATAAATAAAACTAGATAATGTGCAAGAAATGCGAAACTTACTAATAACTTAATAAAGTATAAAAAATAAACTTAAAATGATAATAATAATTGATCAAATAAAAAGTTCAATTTAGGAAGAATGACATGCTAAGGACAGAAAATGCTTATATAAGGCTTTTGAAAGGAAGACAGTGAAGGGGCTAGACTTATTAAATTCGCAGTTCCAAAGCTTTGCGTTAATATAACGGTTTAGACGACGAAAAATGTACTCGAAGCTAATATCGAAGTAGATATCGAGCATAATTACAATCGCGATGGAATGATGAAGCGGTAATAAGTGGGTAACGCTCGCGGCTATCGTGTACTTTCCTGCCAGGATTGTTATGAAGACTTTGCACAGGGATTCAGAGGCTGAACATGTCAAAATTAAGTTATTACCTCCGGACAGTGATTGACGGGGAGATGCGAAGAGCGGAAGCTCACGCAGAACGTGCATGCGATCCATGCGGAGACATTCTGGTGCTGGAGCCAAGTTAACAGTTACACTATGATAAAGAAAGTCGACATGATGATACACAGTTTTGATTGTCAAAAGACTCGCCTTGACGATTCATTAGATCATCTATATATTGTTAATAATCGCTGGGTCGTGGATTCGATTTGTATCAATTTATAATTTTTATGAAATATGATATAAATAGATTTCACTCGAGCATTTGCATTTTATATAAGTTGTATCAATAGAAAAAGAATTTTAATTTTAAGCCTGGTATTGTGATATCCAATATCAGGTAGCTCTAAACCTAATCTGGTATTTCCGTTCCATCAAGTAGAATTATCATAACATATAAACAGTGTATCATATTTAAAATTTTGTTATTTAACTTATTTTTAATTGTTAACTTGGCTGCTTAGCCAAGTTCGTCGGTTCGTTCACCGACCTGCGTTGCACAGTTCGTACGCTAGCGGGCTTCCCTCCGCATTGACATAGCTTAACGCCTTATTACTGTTTACTCGCCTCGACCTCTAAAGGGTTATTGTCACTGCTTTCGCGACTGCGTTTTTTGCTAACGAATGAACTGTGCCGATGTTTTGTATATACGTCACATAGTTAACAGTCCCGAGTTAAATAGAGATAATATTACTTATTTCAAACTGTTTTTGTTTTTTACTTTTTGGAAGTCCATACAAATTTATTGCAGTTTAGGAGGTCAATATTATAAAAGACAAAGATTTAAACTAATATATATACTTTGATATTCTTTTTTTGCGTAGAAACAAGGAGATATTAAGTATCTACCTAAGTGACTTATATTTTTCGTCTTTACACCATACCTACTCTTCTATTTTATATTTATGAAACAATAAATCTGCATTAAAACAAAAAGCAAATGCTTGTGGCAACTACATCGCGGTTAAGTTAGTTCATGAAATATAAAAATGTCCAGGGGCCGAGGCACTCAGCGGCCGGACTCTCATATTTTGTTATTTTGTTTATATCAAAAGTAATGGTTCTGCGTCGTATACCGCCCTAGACAGTCTCACCGACTCCCTTTTTTCTAACATTATTTTTACTTAAATTTGTAGCTATTTGAGTCTATATTATAAGTGAAAGCAATGGTTCGTTTCAATTTGAATATTAAAATTTGAGGATTTAATATATTAACGGTAATTATTAACTCGAACTTTTATACATTAACATCAGTGCAAAAGAACTGAGGGAATATTAATTAAAAACCGAGCGAGCTAAGTCTGAAATGTAACGACATTGTTGTTCCGTTTTTGTACCACCGCAATTCGTAATATACGCCGGCCGCTGGTACATTGATAGCGCGGCATAAATTTAGCTACCATAGCAAACATATTTATGCTATCATAAACAAGAAATACTAGACATCTTCACCATTACGTTGGAAACGCTCGAGCCGTTCGCTCGAAGCGACTTTACGATACTGGCGTTTCGCTTTAAAGTGTTGGTAATAGGGGTGAAGTCGGTGTGTCGAGGCGCTACAGCGGCGGCGGCAGAACCGTAGTGGTGTAATGGCAGCGGGAATGAAGTGCAGCTTGTGTTGTTGGCGCAAGGGGTCAGTTCGGCGCGGCTCGCGCGGCGTTCGCGGCCGCGGCGACGGCTCTTCCGGGGAAGGCGCTATCTCGGGTGCAGCGGGAGCCGCCGGCCACCCCCTCGTAAATAACCCGCGCTGGCGAGCCGGCGAAGCGCCCGTGCCAGATTCTCCAGCTAGAAACAGTTAAACGCTCATAATTTCGCGCTGGTTAAGCTTATCTTTGTCTCGTGTACGAAATTTCCCTGTGCCGCCCCCCTCGCGCGTTTTCGTGGACATATTTTATTTGTTGCAGTGGAACGTTCTGTCGCGTCCGGGCCAAAGTTATAATTGTTGTTCGACATACCTACGGCTGCAGCTTCTGCATAAACTTGCTCCACGTTTGCATTGTTTGAATAACTTCGCCCGGTTAATGCTTCAAGTTTCCACTTCATCTTGCACGAATTTTAATGAGATTTGCAAGATTAACATTTGATTTGTTCTTGTCGGGCGCCTATCTTAATTAGATCTTAAGAAGTCGCCATGCCCTTAAATTGCATTGTTTTTTGAGAAATGCGCCATCGCACGGAAACAAATATGAAAGTATTTAATTGGAATCTTGCTTATATTATGCACAAAGGTAAAATTGAAAGCATACCAAACAGTCAAGAACGGCAGATGTTTAGATAAGGACACGGAGTTCCAAAGTTGTGTCAGTTACACACGAACTGGTGTATAAGTCGTAGACGCAAGTTTTCATGTAGCTAGACGTAGTGGGAAGGCATCGGAGTGGCATGCGATAGTGGCACCGAAGGAGGGGGGAGGGTGTTAAGTCGGTATCATCCGCCTTATCGCGCCGCGTTGGTTTCATAATAATTTTAATACCCGAGACAGGTTCCGCATACTTTTATAAGCGTCTCTCGCCTCCGAGGATTCGGGCTGTCACCCCTGCCTCAATCTCCGTTTCCTCACGGAAAACACCCTCGGGGCTTTAGATTTATTTTGACATTTTATATAGTTCCTTTTCAGGAAGGATACAATTGTGGCTTTTCAACTTGATGTCTTCTTCCGATGTTGTTTTGTTTATATGTAATATATTTATCGACCTGATGAAAATACGTGGTTATATAGATTTGACAAAAACGTAGCTAAGAACCTTTCTTAATGAATACGAGATCGAGCAATCCGCTAAAATGGATATAATAAATGACAGCAGTAATAGAGATACTTGAGTGGAACATTAATAGAGAGGCAGGTAGGGTGGGGGGTGGCTGGGGGGGAGAGGAGGCTAACGAGCGTTTTTATCCAGGGCGGGAGGATGATGGATGGAGCCACTTCCGACCGCGGCGTCCACTGCCCGTGTTTATCAACATTAATATCAATGTCCCGTTGCAAATATTAAAAAGGGTACTATTTACTGGCCGTTTGTTGAAGGTTTTGTGCAAGTGATTTATTAATGCTTTAAAAAGGCCTATTAGGGTTAGTACCGTTATGTAAAGGCACAGTTTTAGATTTCTATCTTTACTATTTACTTTTTATATTAAAGTAAGTTAAAACTACGAAAGATTTTTCGGAAATCCTCAAACTGAAAGCAAAACGAGATTAATCTTCGCGGCTTCTTCAAGTGTAGATGGTGGTTCATGAGCCGGAAAATTCGATATTCTTACCAGCCATTTAATATCCAGATTTCCAGACGAAGTCCAGTATGATAATAAATTAATTACAAAAATGACGCAGTGGGGATCAAAACCACGACCCATTGACTATTAGCCTTAGATATCTTTCTACCACCATACAATATTCTTCACCAACGAGCCTGTCAAAGTGAATATTTTTTGAGATCGAGGTTTTTTATTCTACTAAATTGACAGTAGTCAAATGTAAAAATATACACGATAGGTTTTTATTCTTTCCAGCTGCGGTTTTGTAAATTAACATAATAGTTATTGTACGTAATTAAATTTTTGTTTATTATTGCTACAATTAAGAATGACACAAACGGGCTTCGCAAGGTCAAATGTAGTGCAAGGTATAAAGGTACATGTAAGGATGATGGAAAAGGCATACGTCTATCATTACGTCTCCATGTAGGGTCTCACCCCTCGTGCTATTATTTGAACATTAATTGTAAATTAGCACATGCGATTATAAAATATGAATAACTTATTGATTTATCTTTCTATATTTTGTAATTAAGTGTCTAGTTTATTCTGTGTGTTTAAAAAACAAATAGTTATCTAATTTCTTAGATTAAATAAATTACTATCTATTTTGTGGAGTTAACGTAAATAATACACATTTAAATAAAACACTTTTAACGGTTTAAAACTAGAAAGATGTTAATAATGTATTTTACTTAAAGTAAAACTGTCGCTTAACCTGCAGTTAAATCTTTAAGATGCAAGAGTTTTTCTGTTTTGTTTGTAAAACAAATAAATAACATTTTACACATACAAAAGCAATTCAGTCTGTTAAATTGTATCAGGAATAGTCATATTAATAACATTAACGTCTAAGCCGATTCATATCTACAGCCTTACAAGTGCGACTTTACATTGCGGTATTTTATACCATGTATTTATAGAGGACCACAACTTTAATTCCGCTTCTGTGGCACAGTGGTTAATACTTCGCAATATCATTCAGAGTTCCTACATACTTTCATATTTATTTTTATATATTATTAACATAATTTCGGTGGGGTACGAAAGTCTGACTACGTTCTTTTGTATGTAATTTTTTCTTTAAATCTATAGTTACATTTGAAATATGCCTTCAGAGTGTATATGAAAGTACTTAAATCGCTCCATGCAAATAAGTACACGCTCACGATTAAAAGGAGCAAGTACAACCGATGCGTGGAGTATCAGCGACATAACTAATTACGGTATAAATCAAACTCCTAATCGGCAATACGATCTCTAATCTATCCACTTAGAGGCGACTATTGCTTGCGATCTCCGCGTAAGTTATAACAAACTTCGTTGGCGTCCATCGCTAAATACTAACTTAATTGAATTTATATCCACGTCCTCAAATGAATATGAGTGGAACGCTCTCTGTTTTATACTTAATGATGGCGTATTATGTATTCATTGTGGCTCTGTCGAACGGTGAGAACCTCGTAACATAAATTTTGCGTATTATTTACGTTGACAAGCGTCGCATTATGAAATTATAATACGCGATTGATATGCTGGTGGGCGCTCGGTCGAGTCTCGGAGACGTGGTCATCGCTTGACACGTTGGCTTTCCTTGTAAACACGACGCTGCAGAGTGCCCAGTGTCACGGTTCCCATGCTCTAAGTGGGTTGTTGAACGGAGAAAGACATTGTTGGAAAGACCCAGAAACATATCTTGTAAATAGTGTTGTGACTAAAATAATAAGTACTAATATTTATATTACAATGCGCAGTGGAACGGGGGCAGTTTGTTTCATTCTTTTACAATTTTAATTTTCGAATCATTGATAAAAATATACCCCCGAAGAGTTTAAAATACTAGTAAAAAAGCTCGTAACGCATCGTGCGTACCCCTGTAATGAAGTGCCCCCTATCTCCTCTACTTAGTAGAGACAGATTTTAGATAATTTCAGATTTAGATTTATTTAATACATATCGTATGAAAGCCAATTAAGCCAGAACTGATTCTTTATAATCTATTTGAAAGTTATGAAAAGATATAGTGTTATGTTAGCTATCCATAAAAACATAAAGCGAATATCTAGTTTAGAAGTTAGAACAGATTCGCGCGAGTCAAAATAAAGCGAGCCAATCAATATTAACACGCCGCAAACAGGGTAAATTGTTGCCTAATGCCGCACGCACACACGCGCGTCACGTTCAAATGAGACGCGTAGTTAGCCAGGGTGCTCTAGTTTAGGAATTAGATATGGACTGTAAGGATGGTTGCAGATATATCAACTATTACAGCTCGTGTATCATTTACACACATTTTCACAATTTTGTATACAAGCAAGTTTTTTCTAAGCATTCACTTTTGTTTAGGATTAGAAAAATAGCATCCCGTATACATCGTGTACATGTACACAAGAAGCTCACACGGACGGTTGTTGGTGTGTGTTTCACGCACACTAGCGTCGGCGCCCGGCCTGTAATAACTCGGAACCACAATAAATCAATGTGATTAATGTCATTAAGTACTGTGTGCCGGCCTCTCTATATTCCGTCAATATGCACTGTTTTACGACATGCCGCGCCACGATAATTAGTCAGCTTTGTTAGGACCATCCATGAATGCATGCCTATTACACAAAAATTAGAACTGTATAATGGTCTCTTACTGCCCTCGGCGTATTAGTTCTTTAATTAATTAAAAGTGTTAAAATATCAAAGTACACTACAGTACGACCATTACATGGGCATTAGATAAGAAGTGAAATTCTGCCCGTCCGAAAATATTTATTTAGGTCCTAGGTTCGAATCTATGGAAAAATTAGACTTTTGCTTTACGCTTGTTATGCTAGCTAACATGTAAAAACATTTGGCTTGGAAGAAGTTCATTTGCCTAACATTAAAAATGTATTTTAATAATTGGATATCTATTAACTAGATACCACATCTATATTTATATGTGGGAGCAATAATTTACTTAAATAAAACACTTTTAACGGTTTAAAACGACGTCACGGTGAGTCCACTGCTGCTTCAAAGCATCCGAAAATACCTAATAAATTACGCGTTCCAAATCGTTAAATTTAGGGAGAAGCGGATAGATATTTTTGTACATTTTCCTAACTATTGTATATTCTTTAATTATTATTTAAATTACATACTTTAGAGTAGGTTAGTTACTTAGAAATTGAATGCATATTCTATAGTTCCATTTAATTAGCTACTGTGATGTACTCAAAATGTAATATATTAGGTATGTCTATATAAAAATTAATAATTATATTGAATAGGTATTTACGTCTTTAAAATATCTAACAAGTTGATAGGTCAATAATTATTAAGTCTATGATGTTTGTTTGGTCTAGAACCATCGAGAATAATCTTTCATTACTATCTGTATGATTTATTAAAAGACTTTTACAACAAGTCAATTGTCAACTGACTTTAAAAAAATATCACAGACTAAAAATTAATTTCCAACTTTACAGTTGACTCTGCACTAACCCGCATAAGATTTCGTTAGCAATAAATAAATACAGCAAATGCGACGTTTGAAAGATCAAAGATACAGAACGTTCATAAACATCGCACGCAAAAAATGATCTCTGCTTCATCTCAGTACTGGCAAATTAGTGTGGACTACCGATATTGGTCAGATCCTAGTTGCCTATCATGTCTCTTTGATTGATAGGCCTTAATTATAAAGGTTAGAGTCGCAAATCATGGGAACACGAGAATAGATCGGTTGACGTTATTATCGTCGGTATAAATCGCTATTCGGTCGTGTACTGAACATAAACAAACGGACTAGTTTCATACGT